ACACTTCTTCTCGATGTCCATTAAAAAACACATTCTTGATATCAAATTAATGCAGTTACCACTCTTTATTCATTGTCAATGAGAGAAGAACTCTTATAGTATTTTAATTTGGCCACTGAAGTGAATGTCTCTTTATAGTCTATTCCATAAAATTGAGTAAAACCTTTGGCCACCAACCTAACCTTGAACATCTCAATGCTCCCATATGATATATACTTAACATTTAACACCAATTTCCATCCAACTGGTTTTTTATTTAGAGGAAGCTTTGTAATGGTCCATGTGTCATTTAGCTTAAATGCTTGGATCTCTTCTTCAACTGTCCTTTTCATTATGGACTTTAGAATGCTTTCATGAATTGGCTTGGATATCTGCACACTGAAGATTAGATACAAAGGCTTTGTAAGTTGATGATAACTTCTCATAGGCAACATACTCCTGGATAGGATGATTGGTGCCATTTTTTCTGTCTTTTTTGTTGAATTGCACGTCCCTTGCAACCTCAGAGATGGGTGAATTCAGATTTGATTGCGAACAATCCTGCGGTTGCATATTTTCTTTATCATGCTCAGCAGATTTCTTTCTCCTAGCATAGACATAACATTACTTGTTCTTAATCCCCGATTGGAAGTTCACAATAGAAGGAACTTGGAAAGCATAATGGTTAGATGGAAGAAAAACATATTGTGATGACTCTAGATATGGTGTTCAGAGTGGAGTCTCAAGTCTGATATTCACTTAGACTATCCCCCTGAATATCAGATTTGAAATAATATGATTGGTTTTCAAAGAAGGTAACATTTATGGAGTTATAGTATTTTTTGTAATGACAAAACAGTACTTGTACCTATTTTTGTTAGAAGAATACCCAAGAAATATACATTTTGGGTTAAGTTTTATGCAGTTTGATAGATGAATGTGAACAAAAAAAAACATAACCAAATATTTTTAGAGGAAGATTTGATGAGAAGGCTTTGACATGAGAGTATTTATACATCATAATATCAAGAGGGGCTTGGAATCCAAGGACCCTATTTGGCATTCTATTGATGAGGTAGGTTGTTGTGAGCACAACATCTCCCCATAAATTTTTGGGCACATTTTGGGAGAGCATTATAGACCTAGATGCCTCAAGAAGATGTATTCCTCCTTTCAGCTATTCCATTTTGTTGAGATGTTTCAAAACATGAACTCACATGGATGATACCATTTTTTGCAAGGTAGGATCCAAAGATAGAATTGAAGCATTCATTTGCATTATCTGTTTAGAGAATCTGAATTTTGCATTGGAATTGAGTGAAAATCATGTTATGGAAGGATTAAAAAATTTTGTGATTTCAAATTCTTCCATTATAAGGAATATCCAACTAATTGTAGTGTGGTCATCAATAAAGAAAACAAATCATCTAGCTTCGTTGATAGGTTTCAATTTTGATGGTCCCCAAATGTCATTGTGGATGATAGAGAATGGTTATAAAGATTTGTACTGAGACAAATGATAGATATGATGAATATGTTTAGCAATTGACAAGTTTCATATTGATAAACCTCTGTTTTTTTATTAATAAAAATATGAGGATACAACTTTACAACATAATCAAAATTGGGATGATCGAAACGCCAATGCATAACAAAACTTAACTCAATACACTCAAGATCATGGAAAAAAATAGTGAAGAAAGTACTCATATGTTAAGAGAATAACTTTCCTTAAGCAGGTATAGAATTTGATGTAATTCAGCATTGTCAATCACATTCCTCGAATCTACCACTTGAAAGTCAGGAGAACTAAAGTGAAATTTAATAACGCAATTCAGGTCGTGAGTAATCTTGCTGATTTAAAGTAAGTTGCAATCTATTGATGAGCAAATAATGCATGAGAGAGCTGAAAATCTTTGGAGACTTTCACTTCTCATTTCCTAACAATCTTATAGTGAGATCCATTGGCAAGTGTAAAAAATCTTAAATCTGGAGTAGGTGAATTTTTGGTACTTGGTGAGGGTATTACACCTTTTGTTCACATTATTTATGCAATTTGATTGGTCATGTGATTAGAAGCATCTTAATCTATTATCCAAGGTCGAAATCTCTTATTGTTAATGAGATAAGAGGAGGGCATTACACGTTGATATATAATTAAGTTGATAAGCTCCTCAATTGTGCTCGAAAGAAATTTCTTCGATACCACCAATTGTTCGTTAGTGAAGGGACTAGGTTCAGCTGAACGTCAGAAAAGGTCAGCAAGGGCCTAGCGGTCTTGGTCTTTCCTCCCTTGCCCTAGTTTCTAATATGTAGGTTTTCCATATAGTTTCTAAAACTTGTCCTTTGTGTGAAAAGGTTTCTTGCAACGTTTACACAAGGGATGATTCTTCTGTCTTTAGCTCATTATAAGAGTTGTATGAGTGCAAAACAGAACTTTTAAAGTTAGATGAATCCACACTTCCTGCAGTCATGTGTTTCTTCGTATTTTCTTCTCATTGAACTTCAACAATAGCTTCCCTAGTGTTAAGAAGATGCTTCATCCTCATAATTCTTCCTTTGACTTCATCCAAGTTCTTATTTAGAACCAACAAGAATTTGATCTTCTTTTCTCCACTATTGTTTATACATCAATACATCTTGAGGACACTTCCATATATATGTACCATACAAATATAATTGTAACTAGTATATGGATATGGTGTTAAAGTATTTAATAACACTTAACTCTTCATGTTAGAACTCATGTAGTTTTGTCTCAATCTCTAACAATTCTGCAGTGTTTTTTGTACTTGAGCAAGTCTCAGGAGTTGCTTCCTAAATCTCCTGTGTTGTCCTGTAAAGTTTTTGTGGTCATAAAATTGATCGACCAAAACATGACCGTATGATCCTGGATCTTCCATGAACGATGGTGAGGATCAAAGAGCTCAGGAACAGTGACCTCTCTTGTAAGATGTTCCCTTTTTCTTTTCCAGAAAATACATTGAAAGAAGTTATGACTGCTGAGTAAGGCTGTCAAAAAAGCTCATTGTTCACGAACAGTTCGTGTTCGACTCGTCAGAAAGTTCATGTTCGATTCGTTCGATAAGCAAACAAGTCAAACACGAACAATTTTTTTTGTTCGGTTTATAAACGAACCAAACACGAACATTCATTTGTTCGATGGTGTTTGAATCGTTATTGTTCAAAATATAAAATAGTTTATATATATATATATATATATATATATAATTTATCATATTTTAAAAATAATTATATACTCTAAAAATTTATCATATTTTTAAAAAGTAAATCATATAAATTATAATTTGATCTTAAGGTTCGCCTCTTAGGTTATATTAAATCCTATAATTTCATATTTTTCTTCAGGTTCGCCTCTTAGTTTATACTTAAATTTTCTTATGTTTCTTTTAGATTAATTTAGTTTCTTTGACTGAAACCTAATTTTCAAAATTTTTTGGAGTGAAATCTCGCATATTGCCTCTATATCTAATTTTTTTATTGATGAGATATGATATTATGTTTTTATTGTGAGTTGTGTTTCGGCTATTGTGCATTTGTGTTATGATTCATATATGTTTAAGCATTAATTTATACAGGTTTAAGCTTTTGAAAGATTTCAAACAATTTAAACAAATTTGTAAGATTTTGAATAATTCGAACAATTCAAACATTTCAAACATATTCAAACAAATCAAACCGAACACGAACAGTAATTTCACAAACAATTTCGAACACGAGTCTATTTCAAACACACTTAATTTGAAGCCAACCGAACATGGACATGAGCTATGTTCGTTTACACCTCTATCGTTGAGTTTCTGATATCATGAAGGAAAACATAAATGGAAATTCTCATTCCTTAATCTTCAAATTATAACTCCTCTTAATATATAGAGTAAACTCTAAGGCAAATATAATTCTACAATTACAACTTATCAAAGATACAACAAACACATAAGAAAAGAACTACAAATATAATAATAGAAAAATAAATGAGAATAAATTTAAATAGGAAACCCAAAATTCCATATATCTCAACAGCAAAAATCCAAAATCCCGACCAAGGAATAACATTCATCAAATTTTATATGCAAAATCATGTACGAATTTCCTCATAAAGCTGAAAAGATGAAATGGAAAAAAGAATTATGATGGCACTTTACAATTTTAGTCCATGGCTAAGCCAAAATGGGATACAGATACTTCCTGTTATACTTGACAAATCAATGCAAGAACAAGATAGCCAGTAAATTAAATGATGGTGGACTAAGAAACTCCACATCTTGAAAAATAAAAAAAAAATCCAAAAGAAAAAAAAAAAGGTGAAATGTGATACTATTTGGAAAGGGACATCCATCGGCTGAACAATAAATTAAACTTGTAATAATTATGTTGCAAAGTTTTGGAAGCATACAGATCGCAATTAAAACAATATAATTGAAGATTCCGATAAATTCTTATAGCGCACAAGAAAATTCTAGTTAAATTACTGCCTTGATTTTAAGCTGCACTTGGACCTAACAGTACACTGAAGGACTACATCACAGCATAAAACCAAAACAAGATAAAATTGGAAGTGCTTAGGAGATTCTTGATGCCAAGACAATCACAAATAAACCACATTTAATGTGTTGAGTTGTAACTTACAAATTGCTCAAAAGTTTTCATTCCTACAATTACATAAGTTTACTCAATTAGGTAATACCTTCCATGAATATTTAAAAAAATAATAATCTCATGTAGTTGTGCATCAACGGGCTACCCAATGAATGAGGCTTTAGGGGCTGATGTACTCGGCCATCACCCATGGCCCCAAAATAGTAGAAAGACTATTTCTTTAATCAAAACGCATGATTAACAAATCACGATGATGAAAATCTAATCATTTCTTTGGTTCACCCTGAAGGCACTATTTTTCGAAAATTTATCATTTTTCCATGCATTTGACTGACATTCGTTTAAAAAAATATGTTATCTAATAAACACAAGTCTTTAGAAAAAAGAGTGGGGATGATTACCATCAGTCTTTTATAAGCCATTTCGATAAGTTTATGCATGGCAAGCTGCTCGATGTTCCTGTAAGCATAGGTACAGAAAATTTCATTCAAAGATTTTATTCCTAAAGAGCAAAATATAGAAGCAATAGATATATGTATACCTCTCTTGAACTTCTTTCACTCCTTGAAGAGCCTTTTCTAATTTATAAAGCTCGCTTTTTCTCTTCCTCGCCTTCAAGAGATAAATGCAAGCACATCAGTTTAGTACTTTAAAAGACCAACATTAAACTACACGAGATTTATGTCACTGGATCAAACAAGAAGAGAAACCAGATTTCTTCATTGAGCGGATATCTATCTATATGGAGGCGGACGCTCATGACGATGATGGAAACGATGATGATAAATAACAAGAGAGAGTTACTTTATACATGTATATCAAGGTTATTATACATCGTCTAATGATAAAGAGTAAGATGCCTTTTGATTTGGCCATGTTTTAATAATCAAATTAAACTTTTATTTATTACAAAAATTGGCTATACATAATGCTATACATAAGAGAAATACATTACCATGTACAAGTGCTTCAGATGGTATCTTGGACTACAATAAAAGGTCAATGAAAAGTAAAAATGCAAACATGCCACAAACATAATAAATTTCATAAAGTAGGACAGTGAAGAATAGTAGCACCTGTTGTAGGAACTTTATTTTAAGATCAGAAATAACTCTATCAATTTCTTCATCTTCTCCCTCAGCTAAACCAGGCTGTAAAAACCAAAATATGCATAATGTGCAATAATCAAACCTTAAAAGCAATTAAGCTAGAAAAAAAAATCCTGCCGAAAGCAGAAAGTAAATAACAAATTTCATAGAACCAAAATAGAGTAAAATCAAGGCAAACCCACGCTTTAAAGATGTGTGAATATTGTGGCAGCCAAAGGGGTGTACTTAAAATATCGCTCAATCTTTTCATCAAATTTGCATACAAAAATGCAAGCATACAACGGCTATAGATATGTAAATTTGCCATGAGCTTGCTGATATCATCCAAATTGGAAGAAGGAAATCATTGTTAGAACTAAACATATGTTGTTTATCAACATTATATAATACAACAACAACAACAACAAAACCTTTATCCCACTAAGTGGGGTCAGTTAGATAAATCCTTTTTCTCCACGGCATCACATTTAGTGTCATATTTTCATTTAATTCTAATAAATTAAGATCATTTTTTATACAATATGCCCAAGTCATCCTAGGTCTACCTCTGTCTTTCTTAACGTAAGTCGAATCTAAGACATCTACTCTTCTAATCGGATTATCAGATAGTCGACGTTTAATGTGACCAAACCATCTAAGACGACTCTCTCTAATTTTGCCTGTAACTAGAGCTACACCAACCCTATCACGGATATATTCATTTTGCATTTTGTCTCTAACTGTAAAGTCACTCACCCACCAAATCATTCCCTTCTAAGCAACACTTAATTTAGTTTTATGCTTCTCTTTTAGAGGCCACATTCAGCGCCATAGAGCATTGCAGGATTCACCACCATCTTATAAAATTTTTCTTTCAGTCTAAGCGGTACTTTTCTATCACGCAATAGCCTCGAAGCATTTCTCCACTTCAACCAACCAACTTGAATTCTACTAATAACATCCCCATCAATATCATCATCACTTTGAACAATAGACCCAAGATATCTATAGCGTTCACACCTTTTAATGATTTGATCACCCATAGTTACATTTCTATCACTAGAGCTACTACTACTAAAATTACATTCCATGTATTCAATTTTAGTTCTACTCAAACGAAGGCATTTAGACTCCAAGGTAGACCTCCATAATTCAAGTTTTTCCTGTGTTTTTTCTCACGTCTTATCTACGAGAAGGATATCATCATATTTAGAAAATTATATATGATACAAAAAATTGAAAAAAAAAATAAAAATAGCAAAAGTACAAGCATAATAGAAAGAAATTATCAAGGAAAAGGAAGATAGCTAAAAAAACAAAACATTGAGTCATCTTAGCTGAAAAACATTCTACATGAGAATAGACGGGAAAATGGCCATTCACAAAAATTTAAAGCTTAGTGCAACTTCAGTTCACAGTGATTCTACATGGATATTAGCATGCTTCTAATAATCAACATCATAGGCAATTCATACAATGAAACAGTTTTCCAAATACTTTTTCTAACAATGGCCTGTTAACAGTCAAAAGATAAAAAAGAAACAGGGATATATTAATCATCATAAGAGAAAAAAAGTGGAAAAATAAACAGAAAGCATAAATAAGTTTCAAAAAAATATAAGCATCTTCAACCCCCATACCACTAAATCTGGATAAATGCCAATACTGTGCAGCTCCAGCAAGATCCTATCATTCAAAGGCATATGTTCGAACTGACATTCATATGAAGAATTTTTGGATAAACCTGTGCCAGACAACTGTAATGAATTGCAATGGCCGTACTCAGGAGGAGCCCCAGCATCTAAGTGTTCTGAAACACCATTCTCCTGAAACAGATGTCCCCCAGATATGGAGGTTTGGAGAACTGAAGCCATATTGTTGCTGTGGGCTAAAAAACCATTGCAAGATTTAACATCCGCGGCACAACTCTTCTGACTGGTGTAATCCATATCCAACTCAAAATCCAATTTCATGGCAGCTGATTCCAACTCATTTTCAAAATAGCAAGTTGTACCATATGCAGAACAATCACTTGAAATTTGCAGGAACTCTTGTTCGCCACTGCTGTTAAGACTTTCAGTTCCATCCTCCAAAATTAAAGCAGATAGAAGTCTCTGAGAAAGGGGAATAATCCTGTCAAACCAACTTTCTGTTTCTGTCTTTCTAGATGTCACTTTAGCTGGCTTTGGCTCATCCGCTGAGCAAATAGTCTCAATAAAGCTATTCATCCCAAGAAAGGTGGTGTGGTTTGGCTGCTCTACAAAAGCTGATCCACCAAATAAGTTTCCCTGAAAATATAGAAAAATGATGCTTCAAAAAAACTGCACTGAAAGAAAGAAACAAATATTAAAAAAGTTATATTTTTCTACCATCAAATTGTGTTCAGTATCTAGCATACTGGATAAACTTTCATCCAGTTCTTCTGCAAATGTAATCTATACATGGTTTCAAACAAGTTACCAGTCAACATTTCCATATATCAAAACAGCTGCATCATGAAGAAAAGAAAAAAATGTAAAGCAAAAAACAATTACCTGACGTTTCACAAATGTTAAATCCTCTGAGCTAGCAAAACCAAAAACTGCTTCCATCGCCCTCCAAAATGAACTAGAACAATTATTATCTGCAGATTAGGATGAATTCAATAGTGTAAAATAGCTGTAAGTTAAACACAATAGTGTAAAAAACTAAGAGGATACACACAGCTAGAGTTCCGAGTAGCATTTATAGCTGTTAACAATTCTTCACGGTCATCATCTTGTTCACCTATAAACACATATTATTCAATCGAAAAGAAGACGCAAGTTTTAATGATTAGTAAACAATGCCAATATATGATGATTGGAAAAAAATGCTTCAGTCAATTTATAAAATAGGAATAAATAAAGGTAATAATAACCTATCAAATCTGAAGAACCACTGTGCATACTTGGCACTGGACGACCATAAGCCTTTCGATCAGACAACTTCGATGGAGGACGGCCAACCCTACTGCAGTAAAATTCAGCATATTTAAGCAACAAATAAACTCTATCAAAAAATTTGTGTTGGTTCTATAATACACATGTTCAGAACCTTTCACTTCTATCAGAAGTAGGCCTGCCATTTTTTATTGGCTTAATTGTGTCAGCGTTCTCTTGCTTTTCTTTTGTTAATGACAAGCATGCTTTTGACTGATTTGACCCTCGACCACTTCGGCCTTGCCTCCGCACACCATCTCCAATTTCCTCTTTTGGACGAATCTTGTTCTTTTTCGAAGGTAAAGTAAAATCTGACACTTTAAGAGGTAAATTTGGATGTCCATCCTCTCCCTCACCATTGCCACCTCCTTTCTCTCTTTTATTCTCGATAAAACCCGATTCCTCACTCTCTGACAATCCAGCAGGAGAAGGAACATTCTCAAGTCTTAATTTCAACTGATGACTGCCATTCGCAGCCACCCTCGAGTTTAAAGAACTGCCAGAATCCACAGAAGATAGCCTTGTTGGAACATCAGGAGGAACAAAAGCTTCAGAAAAAGCCTGAACATCATCAAAATTTGAGACAGGAGAGACTACATTTGCCCTCCTTGTGCGGGATATCTTTTGGGGCCGTTGACCCACCCATTGAGTAACAGGTGGTGATGATGATCCTGTAGGCAATTGACGCTTTCGATTGACAGGGCTGTTCAAAGTCTGCACTTTGTTCAAACAAGGTGGCTGCTCCCAACCTTCAATGGCACCAGATAAACGTGGATAATTTGGTGCACCGACCAAAATACCAGAACCAGTTCGTGGTGCCCTAGAGGCTTTTCCTTTTATTGGAGGACTTTCACTTTCTGGTTGAGAATCCTCACGGTTATTTAACCTGAAATTCAAGTAAGGAATTCTAGACTAACTGGGTAATGAACTAGAAAAAACTTAAGAAAGAAATTCAATCTAATCGAATCAAGACAAATCAGAGAATTTTCACATTTTTTCTAATATTTGAGTTTATGGCGCAACAGTACTTTCTATATTAGGTAATAATCAGATTTATAGGGTGAACGAATTCTATTAAAGATGGCATTAACATCTAAAACAGCTTACAAGAAGTAACAATTCTCAACTAGCTAAACAGATACTACTTTTATTTCATACCAACTTGAAATAATAAATCTTTGATTAATTTCTAAGAAAGCATATATTCCATCCATAAATTGTTAGGAATACTCAAGTTCTAATAAATAGAAATTAGAAAAGAATCACCAATAATGGCAAAAGTTAAAATAACATAAACCGGTAAATTCAATGGGAAGTATGCTCTAAATACATTACTATGTACAGACTGAAAAGCATAAAATGAGATTCAGACTTAGTAGAACATAGTAAAAAGACCAAAAAAAACATATAGTTATCTTCTACAAAGACAGTGCAGGGTAAAATATATTCAACCACTGCACAATATTATAATGAAGTATAACTTCATATATCTAGCTAATTTAGCTTTCGTAAGACAATAGATCAAGAGACAGAAATACTGAAAAAATTAATGGAAAACAATGAAACAAACACATTAAACAATGCTTACTTGTTGCTTCCCTTAGGCATGATCCTTTCCTTGTCAAGTCCAGTAATGCGATTGCTTCTATCATTAGGAAAAGAGCCATTCTCCGGTTCATTCCTGGGCATCACGCGAGAGCTATTACCACAGATCTGAGAATTGTTCTCAGTCTTACTACTTCCAATTACTCCATTAGCTGATCCACTTCTGCATGAATAGATAAATAATGTAAAAAACACTATTTCAAATTATAGAATTTTAATGTGGTTCAAAGCTCATCTGCCATTCAAGCAAGAAATTATCAATAAGAATTTAAATTGTGCTAAAGAACAAGACAAAAAGAAACAGAAAACTTTTTTAAAAGTATCATAAAAACCATAAAAATCAAGAATTTTTTCTTTGCTCGTCATCCTGACATTTATCTTCAAATGCAAATAAAAAGTAAGCTATTAAACCACAAGGTGAATATATGGATGCAGATACAAAGGTATCGTGTTTGCAACTAGAAGGTAAATTGCAGGGCAAAGCAATCATAAAACCCAGCGAGGAAGAAAAATGGAAGAATTTTTTGGCGTTAATGGTTTTTTATAAAATCTATGAACCACAAACACTGCACTCTTGGACACCATGTCAAACAAATTTTTGGGTATGACAATTGCTTCCTTTAAAAAAAATTAAACATTCATTCGCACCTCTTAAACAGTGATAAACTTGTTGGCATGGCCGCATGAAATAGATTTTTAACCAGAAAAAGGTGCTAAAACTTCTAAAGGTAGATAGATCTGCATGCAAATTATTCACAATATAAAACAAGCTCGTAATTGTCAATTGTGAATAACAGATTATAGCACAAAAATCTTCATGAGCAACAGCATATGCATACCATGCTGTATTTTAGATATAGTACAAATCATAAAAAAATGAGTAATAAATAAAAATCTAAGAAAGTAAGAAAAAATCCTAAAAGCAAATGAAATTGCTTTAACATACAAGGGGCTAACGGAAGTTATTCAAATTGAAAAATCAACCATCATGGCGAAGAAAGCGATTAAATTTGCAAATAAAACTATTGTAATTGCAACAAACATAACATTAGAAAAAAAATGATAAAATTTGGAGCTTATGCTCAAAACATAAGGAATATACCGTTTACAAAACCTATATATATCATACTTACAGTATTAAACCTAAGAATCAGCATCATTATCATCATAATACACAAAATAATCTCATCTTCATCATTGTTATCTCCTAAATCATAATCTTCTCCATCACCCTTGTCATTTTCATATCCTCAGCTAACCTCAGCTAATATGCATACAGCCTTGATGAAGAATCAATTTCTTTTCCTTAAAAACAATCGTCAATGCTATAAATTCTTTCAAACATAAAACTAATATTTGCAAAGGACTCCAATCAAAACAAACTAAAAAAATCCAGCTCAAAAATTGAACTAAAAACTAGCACAATACGTGGGACTTCTTATAGCACATAGGATACAAAATAGAAATATAGCACGGTATGTGGGACATGTGTTATACAGCATAGGATACAAAACTGAAATAGCTCTTTCTCCATTATATTTTGCCATTCCAACAGAGCATGAGATGCATCTCACCAGGCTATGATCTATAGTATCCACTATAGAAAAGTACGCATACATAGTTATGATAAAAAAAACAAAAAAAAAACAAAAAATTGTGATAATTAAAAGCAATTCATAGCAAACATAAATTTCATAAGCAACATTTTCAACACAAAAGTTGCGTTAAATTCACTTTGCAACAAAATAAGTATACATTTAGCTATTATTACTATTATTATATTTAATTATTCCTTCAAAAATCTTCTTTTTTTCTAGAGAGAGAGGGAGGAATCTAAACCATGAAAATGGAAAATAAACAAGTAATTGCCCAACTGAGAAGTTTTACTCAAGCCCACCTGAATGAAAATTTTATTGTTTTTTCTTTTTCTTCTTGAGATCTACCTTTATGAACATATTTTGATTCTAATGCCCCCAAATAAAATGAAAGCCAATAAGATTCTTTCCAAATTGAGCCATGAAAAACATACTTTATTGCCATCAAGCACATTCAATCAATGTCAATATGTTGTGATCCGGGGTCCAGGGCATGTTGTGTCGAATGGCTGCTGCAATGTTTCTTCATGCCCTTTATGTCTCGTATTCATACTTCATTAGCTAAAGCAGCTCTGATAATAACATAAGATAAATGGTATTTGTTCACCAGATTTAGTTTAAATCATCCCCTTGTAAGAGGAATTTAAAAATATACTAATCACTGAAAGTAGTTCCATTGTTATTTTCTAGTTTCATAATTTTATGAAGAGAATGAAAAAAAGGCTCTTATATAGATATAAACACACACACACACACACACACACACACACACACACACACACAATCCAAAATTATTTTCCAGATTTCTTAGAGGGAGTCGTCTTAGATGGTTAGGTCACATTAAATGCCGACCATCTGATGATCAAGTTAGAAGAGTAGATTTTTTAGATCATCTCTTATGTTAAGAAAGATATAGTTAGACCTAAAAGACTAGGGCATATTGTATAAAAAATGATCTTAATCTAATAGAATTAAATGAAAATATGACACTCAATAAGACACAATGGAGAAAAATGATTCAAGTAGCCGGCCCCACTTAGTGGGATAAAGGGTTGTTGTTGTTGTTTGTTGATGTTTTTCTCCTTATCAAGTCTTTCTGGTGTTATGTATATCTCCATGCTACATAAGCAAGGAAATCGTAACATAGGAAAATGTATATCGCACTCGAAATATTTATTCATCCCTCAATTTTTGTGGAAAAAATCCTTTGAAGGGGCATTAACAAGAAACTGATCCATTAATAATCTAATGTCTCCTAAAGTACAAAATAATTGGGAAAATGTGTATTTAGTCAAAGAAAAATAATCAGAGTATGCATTGAGATGAAACAGCATACATTATTTAGAATTTTCAAGGTACCAAAAAGTAAAAAGCTACAAAATAAAAGAACAGATTATTCATTGGAGTCCATAAGAAACAAAAATCCCATTAAAAACATAGAAAATAGGAATCTCAACATCCTATGTAAATTAACGCTATGGTTTCCCATTCAAAACTAAACATTTGGAAGGACAAGAATCTTCAATTCTATAATCGTTGACTTATTGACAATACTGTTATCAAGGGAAGGTTGGGTGCTCACCAAGGATGAAAGCTAAGTGGGGTAAGACAACATTCCAACGCCTCAAAGACTTCCCAAGTGAGCGCCATCACAAAAGCACTACTTAGACGAGTGCCTCTGTAAAAGCGCTAGGCATCCACCAACCACCAATGTGATGAATCTTTTTTTTTACATGCAAACCCATATTATGAGATCGACTATAAATCTAATGACAGGTAAAAAAAGCATGGGTGATTAAAAAGATGAAATTGATTGTAGAAACAAAAGTAAATTAATATGGTGCTATATAAGTAACCAACTTAAGTTTTCATTTGCCTATTTAAACTTAAGGAAAAATTTTGGACCAATATTGGCACTTTAATTTAGATAATCAAATAGGTAAGGATTTATCATTTTGGAGTTTGAAATGATATAAAATTGAAAATAAACTTTTCTTGCTGCTTTTTAACAATTTATTGTAATGGTTATCACGTCGAAAGCATCCCTTATAATAATAACACATGAAAATTCTTAACATGCCAGCTCATTCAAGCAAGCACCTTTGGCGCATGGAGCCTCAAATATTAGGCAAACATATACCCTTGAGGATGCTTACGGTATACTAACATTTATTGATGATATCAACTGCACCTTATTCCACTTCATTATGTTCCTCCACACAGTCCAATGTCCTAGGAATAAATGATTTCATAAAAGCTAACATCAATTCATCCCTAATTTTTACATTTTTCATATTCACAACAATGATTTGAGACATGTAAATTACAAAAAAATTAGAGACTTATCTGAGCAATTTATTTTAATATCTATATAATATTTATATAATCTTATGAGAGTTTTTAATGGCAAACATGCATAATTAGGGAACAATGATTACATTATTCCAAAAACTAATATATAGACAAAATAGATCAATAAGGTGGCAACAGAGAAATCTTAGTGAGAGTGAGTTCCAGTTGGCAGAAATTAGTAACAAATTGTTTTAACTATGACTATGAAAGGATTACAATTTAGAACATTGTCAAACTTCTCCTTTATAAAACGCCTATCAACGTTAATATGCTTTCAACAATCATGCTACAAGAAAGTATGTGTGATAATATTGGGTAACTTATTAAAACAATAAGAGATTGCTTCCAAGAATATGCAATATTCTAAAATTAATCTCTCATCAACCATAAACCCATAAAATAAGTATATGCATATACTTAAAGGGCCAAATCCTCAGCTTTTCAAATAGAATTCTTTTGCATTTTCCTAAGGTATGATAGTTTAGGATTATACATGGATTGACTCATTATACCAATAGCATAGGCAATATTAGGTCTACTATGTGATAACTAGATAAGTTTCCTCATGTCTCTTACACAATTTTTTCTATGATTATGTTTTCCAGAGCACATCCAAAATAATAATTTAATTCCATTGGGCTCTCAACAAGTTCGCAATCCAACTTGCTCATTTCTTTTAATTGGCATATTGTGTATTTTTGCTTAGTATGATGATTTCATATCGAAAGCATGCAACTATAATGTCGAAGTAATACTTGAGTTTGTCTAATATTTTTTCTTCAAATTTTTAGAGCAAATTTTTCTTTAAATTCTCCATTTTTTAGAGTCATTAACTATCATGATAATATCATCAATATAAACTAATAGTGTGGAGACACCCCCTAAAGTCATATGTTTCACAAACAATGCATAATATCCTTAAATTTTTGTTTATAACATGTTATTATTACTTATACAAACTTTTTGAATTGCACACTTGTAGATCACTTCAACGCATATAATGTATTTTTAGCTTACATTTTATTTTGTATTTGAGCCTAAACCTAGTGGGCCTACCATATATATATTCTTCTTTCATATCACCATATAGGAAGGCATTATTCACATCAAATTGTTTGTATCATTCCATTAATGATAGTTGGTAGAAATAAGAGAACTCTAACAAAGTTTATTTCAACAAAAAAAAGTAAATGTTTCAACATAATCAATCTCATAAATAAGATTATGGTCTTTTGCTATTAGTTTAGCTTTATAAATTTTAAGTGAATCATCAAATTTACATTTTTAAATACACACATCAATTTCGCGTTAGTTACTTCCCATTTGGCAAATTACCAATTATTGTGTTTTGCTTTTTACAACATTATTCAAGTTCACATTATTTAAAATCTCAAATATTATTTCAGGATAGAAATTATATGCAGCTTGGTAAAAAAGAAATGGTGATTCTGAGAATGATTTTAATACGATAAAAGTATGTAAGGTGTGTTTAATGGAAGTTCTTGTATCTTTAATAATACGCTTAATGATCTGCATAGTTACTTCAATAATAAGGATTGATTCAAATGATTGGACAACATATTTTGAGATGCATTTTTTTTAGTAAATTTGTAATGTTGAGTATAAAGAGGTTCTAGCATGGGCTCAATTTGGGTAAGATTTATTGGCTTTGGGATAGAGTTGTTTGTGAAATAAGTGGTAAGCAAAGCAATATCCGAGAACAAATTCATCTGTGAATATAGGTGTGAGTAGTAACAAGGGAGTTTTCCTTTTTATTGAATATGACAAACAAATATATGCACAATTCTTGTGAGGGATATTGAGATTTAAATGAATCAATTCAAACTCAAGCTAGCTTGAGCTAAACTAATTAATCAAGTTTGAGTCTGAGCATGCGCTCAAATCTATAAGTTCAAGTTAGTTCACAATTCAGTTTAATTACTATAAAAGAGCATGATTATGACTCAAGCTGTTATTATAATAAAATGATAATATATGTAAGAAATTTAAAAGAAAATAATAAACTATCAATTCATACAAAAGAATTTAAATATTGAATCAACTTTAAACTTAAAACCCTTGAATACATTTTAAGTGTTTTTTAAAAAAGATGGCTCACAAACATAGAAGCTAAGTTGGACTAACTCAAGCTTAGCTCATTAACTCATCAAATAATATACACAAGCCAATTATCAAGTCGAGTCCTAGTAAGCATGAGTCAACTTTAATCAGTTACACCCCAAGAAGATGGTAGCATTCGTTCCTTCTTTTGTCTGCAAGGGATTACCAATGCAAATATATTTAACTGTTCAAAGATTATGCTTTTCTCTATTTTATAAGTGAATATGAGCAAAGATGATAATTCTAAATATTTTAGAAACAAAATTATTTAAGGTATTGAAATTCAAAAATATTTTTCTTAGAACCTATTTAATCCCTTGAACCCAGAGTATTTTTTGAAACATTCTTTTCTTAAAAAGAATAAGCCATTTGGTAACAAGCGTGTGGCCATTCTATCATTTAGCCTAGTTGAAACACCTACTGTAGATAATTTTTCAGGTGTTCTTAGAAAGTTTGTCGTTTTGTGCCATGTAAAAGACCTAAATTTCTTCTTCCCTTCAGGAAACTGTGAACCAATCGCAACCACTTTAAATGGCTCTTTCAATTCAACAAGTATATCATTACTGTTATCAAACGCAAGACTAGCATTCTATTTGCAATAAAAATTGAACAAAAAATAAATATGGGAATAAAGCAATGAGTGGCGCAACAACTTATGGCAATGCAATGATGAGGCTGTAACAAGGGGGAACTTTCATTGCCATGCAACAATGAATGTTAAAATTATAGAAAATAGAGAGGGAAAAAATGATGCAAAAATAAAAAGGCTAATATTTAAGCTATAAATGAAGAACACAATAATGAAAATCCTAAAAAAAAAAAGAAAAATTCTAAATCTCTGACCATAATAAAGATTAGGGAGAGTATTTGAGTATTTCATTACAATATTTACGTAATACTTAGACAATTCTATGAGAGCTTTTAATAAGAAATATAAAATTAAGAAGTAATAATCATAAAATAATTCCAATATCATATAGATTGATGAGAAGTAGAATATAAATTACAATATAATTACCATAATTCAAAGGTTTTATGTCGGGAGTAGAGATTCAACAAATAAAAGAAAAGGCATTATAAAAGAAAGAAAAAAGGGTAAAACTCTGTTAGTTTGGTACCTAGCAAGTAAAAATTAGTTTGATAATAAATTTAGAAACTGTAATGATTTAATCTCAAAAATGAACCAACAATAAAAAATAGTTGTTTCATTGTTCCCTGGTATTGAAACAAAAATTCAACTAAATCAGTTGACTGGTGTTAGTCTAGTCCACTAAGAACCAATTTGTTTCAATGCAAGTTTCAGGAAATGTTTGGACTTTGTTTGATACCATGACAAAGTTCAAAATTTTGTTTTGAAGGAAGAGAATGAAAGAGAGCTGATATTGTTGAAACTCACATTTCACAAAAGTGAGAAGGAAATTTCAATAATAAGGGCTTGGAAGTGGACCCTAAATTTTTGAAATAACTATTAGTTAAATAAAAGCTTGTAAATTAATTAAAATATAATAATCACAATAATAAATTAGGCTAATAGTATCGGCTAATCAATCATAAATAAACTAATTAAAGCATTAATTAGATTTATCAATGAATTTATGATTAATAAATAAACTTATCAAATAGGATTATGAATAAGAAGAAGAAAAAATACTACATGGCAGCCATTAAATAATCATTAACATATTAAATTAGCTGAGACTAAGATCGCAAGTAAATCATTTATTAATTAATTCTCAAGATAACAAATTAGTCTACTTAATATAAGGATTCATGAACAAAAAATTAGGATCATTAAGGACTAAGTTGATAAGGTAGCTAACAAGTAATTAGCAGAAATAATAAATAATTTCAATTGCATTTACTAATTAACTCAAATTAAAAATTAAAAATTAAAATGTATAAATTAAAGCTAACGAAATAAATCTATTTATGACTAGGATGATAATTAATCTAATTGATCATAGATATTTATTTACTACGTTCACAAGATTAATTACTAATTAATCAATATTTATAAATAGTAGCAAATAAAATAATTAAAAGAATTAGTCTAACTTAGCAGATATTTGTGAATAATTAAAATGTAAAATTAACTTGTTAACTAAGCTAATAAAATATTAATTAATAAATTATTAAATATGAATTTAAATCAATTTTTATGAGGCATGCAATAGTCATAGGAATTGATTTCCAAAGAGAGTTGATGCAAAAAAAACAAACAATACTGACAATCACTTCAATGACTTCCTCAACCCAAAAACAACTGTTTTCAAACACTAATGTTAAAACAAAAAAGATTGATGTTCAAAGATTTAAGAAATGATCAGCAATAGTAGGTCATTAGCAGTCAAAAAAATAAAAATGTGAAGAATTTTTTTTTCTACTATAGTACCAATTATCTCTAAACCGCTTCATTCATGTATGAGAGATTTTCCAACATTTCTCCTAATATTAGCTTGTGCAAATATTGTTTACTATGAAAGTAAACATAAATTAGCCTTACACCTTTTATAGGAAAAAAACTACCTTCAAAAAGTGAAAATAATGTGCAATCAAGGAAGAATGCATTAAACTCTTCAATCAAGAAAAAAAAAGAAGAGAAGAATGTTATTTTGAAGAGAAAGGGACAAGCTACGCAGGGTAGTTGAAATAACTTACTAGTTATGTTTCACAAAAACCTCAATCAGTACTAATGCCATTGCCGTAAGACTAGTAACTTATGGTCTGGTAAGTATTTCAGAAGTTATTAACCAACTCTTGAGGTTAGTGTTTCTTACCTAAATAAATTCAGAACCATGAGTTCCTGTTCCCCCATAAAGAGCAGCGTTTTTATAAATTCCCTATCACATATCTATACACTCCCTATCACATCACTTTTTCATCAACTAGTTCCACCATTATCACTTTCCATACAATAACTTGTGCTTGTGCAGCAAATACCCACATCAGTACAAATAAAGCAAACTCATTTGCATACCTACTTACAGATACAAAAGCACCACTCAAGCTTTTTCTTGTCTATATCCAATAATCGTTATCTTCAATAGGACTCATTCTTAATCAAATTTTGCAATACAGAAGAATCAAAGAAAACACATAACACAAGCTTAAAATTTATCATATGATGGAAAAAAAATTGAATTTTCACATAAAGTTTTCTTGTCAAAATATTAACTTATGTATTTGCACAATGATGGATCATATCAGCAAAGCCAGGTTCATTTCAAGAAATCTCGCAAAATAAAAAATTTTCTAGCTCATGTGCATTTTAATATTGTGTGTTACAATTACAACTCGAATTAAAAAATAAAATAGCAAGCTGCCGCTCAAATAAACTTCAGCTAATTCGGTTTATTACTTCGATCATCCTTTGTGAGATTTCTCCTAATATATTCAATCAATTATCAGTCTTTTGACATCGTGAAAATTTAAAAGGATAGCAATTCACTGTCACCAAATAATACAATCAAATATCAAAAGCTTGAGAAAGGGTAGAGGAACAGCTAGCACACAAAAAAAATGTGATTGGATTAATGTTTGCCATACAAACAAAAACTAAAGTTCAAACTTTACCCAAATAATCAAAAGAAACTGTTTGCTTCTTCAAATAAAACAGCATGCCAAGAATATCTTAACTTGTAATGCAATGAATGTGATAACAAAGAATTGAAATTACCTGAATCCATTGCCATCAGGGGGACGAGAACGGGACTCGGTATTAGACCTCAACTGAATTGTTTGTTTCAGCTCTCTATCCCCATCTGGAATCCTAGTGCCCATTGTACCAACAGAACGCTTTCGTTTAAGTTTCTTCTCCCATCCATCCCCTCCAGTAGGTAGTCCACGTATTCTATCTTCACTGGACATTGGTCCTCCATGGCAGGCCCTAAGCATGGATTTGTCCTTTTCAAAAAACATGTTTTTATCCTTATCCATTGCAGCACCTTGTCTTGCTGGAATAGTACTCCGACCCTCAGACTAAAGCAATTAACATAGAAAATTTTTAAACTATGAAGATGCCTAAGTTTCATTTCATCCCTTAGATGACAAAAGCAAAAGAAAAGCAGCTCCTAGAATAAGTATCTTGAAAAAGAAAGGTAAGGTCGGTACTTTTAGTTTTAACAAAAACTACAATGGTTTTGAGCTCAGCTAAGATAACGCTCAAGAAGTGAATAAAAAAGCAAGCTCTGATATAAAAAAGGCCCATGGTTGGTTTAAAAAGAAGAAAGAAATTCAATATCAAAATTGCTGGTAGAATACGAGCAATTTTATATCCCAGAGGCATACTAGAGAAATCCAAAGGCCTCGAGCTTTGAAGCAAGCCAAACGTGACGCCTAAAATTATAAAAAAAAATACAAACCCGTACTTCCGCCATGGAAGAACGAACACGCCTGTTTGGAATGGCAAGTTTTGTCCTTTCCTCTGGCCTTGCATTGGCAATATCTGAATTACTCTGATGAATTTGGTTTCCCATCTTTAACAAATTTGAACTAGCAGGCTTCTCACTTGTCTGAGCCTCATTACGTAACCGTCTTTTTGTAATAAGGTTACGATATTTATCCAGTTTCAAAATAGATTCTTGCAACAACTTTGCTCTGTCCCTGCTGACCACGATGATAAACTAGATTTACAACATGCTGAAAAAGCTTTTTTTTTCTTTTTATATAATTAACAGTGATTTTCTATACAGAAATATTTTTGTTTACAAGCATGTACCATCCCAGTCAACTAACAAGTATATTGGATTGAAATGATATGGAAAGAAATTAAATATCTATATTACAGAAAATTTTCTTGAAGATAAAAAGGAGCTAATAGAGAATTACCTGGCCCTAGTGGACGTCTCAAGCACATTGGCTTTGAAACGCTTTAGCTCCTCTGATGCTATTGGTGGAAGGGTCTTAGACTGCAAAGAACCAAACGAATGCTCTTCAACTGAGACACCCAGTGCCCTCCTTAGTTCCCCTTGGCGGCTGTACTTAAGATTTAGCTCGCTTGTTGAGAAAGGTTCCAGAGACAAATATTGTGATAAAGGTGGAGTGTCCAGTGATGGAGAGGCATTCCGAGATGCACCCGAAGTTGAAGCCATTAAGCGGTTCTCAAGGCTCTCTCGGAAGCTTCCTGACCTCTCCAAACTTGAACTGGTATAAGTACCCCTCGGCCCACTTGGATAGCCAGCACCAAAGGTCGATCCATCCAGACTGCTGGAAGCCAATTCAGCTCTTGTGCTTCCCACCATTTCACACTCCAGCAATCATGACAGCTGACGTCCAAAATGAACCTCCGTTCTCGCACTTTTCCTATGAGGTTTAGCGAGGTTAAGATGGAATATACACAATTGACTAAATCATACAGCACAACAAATTGAACCCAATGATACCTACACATTGATTAGCCCAAAATACAGACAACAAGAGCGACAGTTCAATAGATTGATATTGAATAACATAGTTAAGGAGGAAACTTCTAGCCAAAAGAGATGGTGCAGGCTTTAAAATGGGTAGGGGCGGCTAAAAGATGGGGCAGGAGAGAGATAGAGAGAGAAAGAGAGAAAAAAAAAAGAGTTAAGGCAGTTAAAAAAAGCAAAAGCAGCTCGATCAGTTCACTTATAAATTTGTCACCAAACGAGTTGTACACCTGACGACGGATTGAACAAAAGGAAGATGAAGAGAAACAAGATCCAACAATCAGAACTAAGATAACGAAAAGAAGATACAAACTAACCAAACAGTGCGCCGTCCAAATGAAATGAGCTCCAAGCCCTCACACGAACCCCGCCATCAAAACAAGCGGTTGCAGGACACAAAGAAGCTGCATAGAAGATTCACAAAAGGAAATTTTACAAGAGATGATGTAAATGATGCTGGAAGAGTCGAGGAAGAAAGGGAGCAGAAACCCTAACTGAAGACAAAGGTTACGAACGGAGCAGAAAACCAAACCCTAGCTCGCCTGCACCATAGGAATACTCCTTAGCTTTGCATCATCAACCGGCATTCTCTGACGAGCTCGGATCAGATCGGAATTCGCCGGCGCGACAGCTGATTTCGTGGAAGCGTAGGACGAACACGAAAAGAAGAAATAAAATATTAATTTCCTCCCAGCCTTAATAGGAACAGTGTCCATGGCTATCTTAGAGGGGTCTTATTGATTAGAAATTCACATGCATCTACATATTTCACATCTAAATATTTCATATTTATGTTTATGACATTTTGTTGGCATAACTATATGCTTGAAAATAAATATTTTACTTTCAACTAGCAATAGGAGTATTTTTTAATGTAATATTAAATATTTAATTATTATATATGTAAACATAAACTTTTAGATTTAAAAATTTTAAATAAATAAAAATTATGAGGTATGTGTGTAAATGCAATTAATTATTATTATTATTATTTAAATTACATTAAATTTATCATTATATCTTGTATGCAAAATTAAGCAAAATACAAATAAGATTTGTAATTTCTATAATTTACATAATAGGTAGTAGCTAATTAAAACATTGCTTTTTTTTAACTCTTTTAGCAAAATACAAATAAGAACTTTTAATGGAACTAAAATAAGTAACACGACTTTTTTTTCTTAAAATGTTTGAGATAGAAAATTTGTCACATCTTTTTGAGTTGTCATGCTCTCCCTTTTTCACATGTTTTTCTCTATTATTTTTGTGGTTCTGGGATGCAAAACTCTACATTCTAAGATTCTATATATGGTGATTACAAAATGTTGGTTAAAATAAAAAATAATTATATAAATTTATAATATATTTAAAAGTTAACAAAACATACCCTTAAAAAAATAGTGAGCTCTTTAAAGATCTTAATCAAATAACTTTAATAATTAAGTCATTTTAATTATATATTGTAGATATTTGATGCAGAAATTTTTAATTTTATAATTTGAAAATCTCTTATAGAATTTTTTTAAGTGTATTTTATGTGGTCATTTATAAATATTTTCCATATAGCATATTCAAATTATTCTTCATAAACTTTAAGTAAGGTTTTAGAGAATTTTCATATACTAGTGGTTGCCACTTTCATGAGTAAATCAATTAGTTTATTTTACTAATATGATTTTGTTAGCTATAAGGTATAAACCTAAGGCAATCTACATATGAAGTGTGACTTGAGTTATATATGATTTGTCTGGTAGGGAAA